TTTCTTAGTTAATCTGTAAGTTAAGCCACTTTTTAAGTTGGTTTTAAACAGATGCTAGCTCACTAGCTAGCTGCTAAGCAAGTCATTGTGCTAGCCTCAGGACAATGGTCTATTGTTCCAGAGAGATGTATTAAAAACTCATCTTAACATTTTCATTTTTATTCCATGGTACTTGTATGGACTAAACAAGTTCATAGTTCTGCCTGCTCCTTTTTCAGTTAAACGAATGGATTATATGATGAAACTCTGACTGAATAATTATCTAATTGAGTATGTTTGATAATAAATTTCTTACCAGTATACAGATCTGTACAGAATCAAAGCTTATGTATTGTCAGCATATACTGTCCAAATATTGATGACCCTTCATTCTTTCATATTTTTTTCTCTGTACTCTCCGAACACTTGAACTGTCCACTTATACTTGGAGGCGATTTTAATTTTTGGATGAACTCTTTAACAGATAGGCTCAGTACAGATGGGACTCAGTGCATTTGACAATCCACTAATATAGTTAAACAGTACATGAGTGATTATGGGCTTTGTGATGCATGGCGATCTCTTCATCCTAACAGTAGAGAGAATACTTTTTTTCTCACACGTCCATCACTCTCATTCACGTTTGGATTATTTTCTAGTCAGCAGCTCATTGTTGGCTGACATTTCAGACACTGAGATACACCCCATAGTTGTCAGTGACCATGCTCCGGTTTCATTAACTCTGGTAAATAACAAGACAATCCCACCAAACAAAAACTGGAGGTTTTTGTTTGGTGGGTTTGGTGGGACATCACTGCTTAAAGACGAAGGTTTTATTGATTTTTTTTTTTAAAGGAGTGGGCTTTATATTCAGAACATAATGACCTGCCTGTATATGTCAGGTGGGGCCTTTGACTCCTTTCTTCTCTTGGGACTTCTTTTTATAGATCTTTTGATATAGATCTTCATTTCCCCTCCCCCTTCCACACCTGGTGTGGGGTGTTGTGCCTTGGTCTGCCTGAGTGTTCGTGGCTCCCAGGTCGGGGGTTTAAGATCTTTGGCGCCTGCCTGATCAATCTCGGTGGCTGCCTGTTGGGGTCTGGGTCCCTGTGCTCTGCTGGGTCCCCGGCGGGGGTGGTTGCCCCTGGGTCCCGGGTCGCTGGGTCCCGGGCTCGGCCGGCTAGGGGGTGGGTGGCTGCGGGCAGGCCTGTGGGCTGACTCTGCTGGCTGCTGGTTGTGGCCCCCCGGGGTGATCCTCTATGCCTCTTGAGGGGGGCGGGGACCTTTCTGTTTGCAGTCCCCTTGGGGTTCCTGTGTTCTGGGGCAGCGCCTGGATCTCTGGGACTTGGAGCTCCCCCCGTCTCCTACACATCTTTGGGGGTGGATCTGTGGTCCCTCACACTCTCTATTGGACGCTCCTATAGAGAAACCTTACATAAACAAGCGCGTGTACACACACAGATGCTCACATGGTGCTCTCAAAAGTATGGGCTTGGGCACGTTCAACACATGTCTTAAGGCTGTCGTTGCCACTAAATGCACTATGGTTTATTATCGTGTGATTATTCAGTTAAACAATGTTGATTTTATGTCATCATCAGGCTGACGCAGTGTTAGCTTGCTCCTGATGTATTGTTGTGTGTCCCAATTTTTTTTCTATTCTTTCTCTTTCTGCAGGTCTAGAAGCAGACTCTTGTTAATTATTGTTTATTTTTGTGTACCCCCTCCCCCATGTTTTCCTTTCTCTTTCACCTCTGACTCCGTGTCTGGTCGGAATTCGCGCCTCCACATAGACTTAACATGGACGCCAGACGCAAAAAAATCTAGATGTGAACGCACCGTGAGGAAGGCAGGCGGATCCTGGGAGCTGGAGGAGCGCAGCAGAGAGGAGACGGTGTGAGAACCGTCACCTGGAGGATCCTGGACGGGAGGTGGTGTGCAAACCACAGAAGATGTCCAAGACGAGGAGAGAGAGGACAGCGTGGGAGCTGTCGTGAGCAGAGGCTGAACCAGCGAGGAACAACCAGAGCGCCACAGTGCGGGAACCGCGGTGTGGAAGGCGAGCTGCTCAGGGACGATCAACGTGGATGAGGAAGAGAGAAACTCCCTGAGCTGCTCCGAGGCGATCAGGGTGAGGAAGAACAAGAGAACGATCCAACACCTGATCTCTGCAGCCTCTCCTCTCTTAAGCTTTCACAGCTTTTGAGGAAAACTGGATCCACCTGCCGATAAGGGCTGCCACGCCCCTGAACTCACACACACAGCAGCAGAACTGACACCTGACATTACCTGAAAAATTATTTACATACTGTACCTTTAATTGTTATACTCAAAGATGGAACATTAGTTTCAAGATAAAAACAACTCTGAATGGGGATTACAAGTGGTGCCTGCAGATAAGACCTGGTGAATACTGGCTTCAACATGTAAACATTAAACACTGCTCTGTGAGCACTCAGCAACATGGCGACCGCTCAACTCGCATTTAAGACTTTCTCCAGTTCCCGAGTCTCTATTTCAGTGTAAAAGAGCATCAAATGTGTGAAGTTATTTCCAGGTGATCAGAAGTGGATAGAGTGGCCGCATTTTAACAAACACAATCAATCCATGCAATATGGCCCCTCCTCAGACCCCACTATCGAGTTAAATAATTCTCTGAGTCTCTCCAAACATATACTGAAGCCATTTGTCTTGCAAATCTTGATTTTTCAGCAATATATTCATTCTGTAAGTCTAGGTGCCCAAACGGATGAATACTAATGAGCAATATCAATCTGATGTCCCACTAAAACTGAAAGAGAAGTTCTTGTACTATTTTCACAGCCAGTATGAAACGAAGTGGCTGAAGAATTAAATAGGCAAAATGCTGGTTTCTATTTTGATTTTATTCTTCCATCTCATAAAGACAATTTATCCACGATCACTTACATTAATTTCAATTTTCTAGGAGCTTGTTATCACAGTGATTATTAAAAATGTTGGAATTTCATGTGAGGTTTTTATTAAATTATTTTTTTCCCTGTATTTAGGGTGAAGATTTTGAAGAGACCCAGAGAAAGTTGGATCAGACTCTCATCGGTATCTATGTGATTAAACATCCAGGTCCATCTACTGATCAGGCTCCAGAAGATGTTGGCATCATAGTTGAAGGTGTATAGGTACTTACTGGACTCAATGATGTTGCCACTGCTTTTGCCTTATTGTTTGGCATCATCTATGACCTGAACCTGAGCTACCCCACTGATCACGGGTACACTTTAGAATTAATTCAAAAGATTCTGATGGAACTTGACACACACAGGCTTTCGAACAAAATCCAAGTGCTCAAAAACAAAATGCTGGAATGAATGTATTAAGCCATTACAGTATTGTGATCTATTCAAGTCCTGAAATGTTGTAGTTAATGTGTTTTATTGGCCTGTTATAAGTGCCTGTTAAAAGTTTTAAACTTTATGTTCTTACACCTAAAATGTATACGTTCAAAGTGGTGTCAAACTACTGGTTGTTTTACAGAGTACTCTTAAGAATTTTTTTTTTAATTTGCCTTGTTGTGGCTGGACCCAGTGGCTCTAAAAATGTTTTTATTTTATTTTTTCAATTTCTTTCCAATGTTGAAAAGAATTCCTTTTGCACTTAATTTAAAATGTCAAGCTTTCAATTTAAATGTCAGTGGTACTACTTAATGCACAAACCTGTTAAAAAGGTAATGTACATACATAAGAATTTGTATTTTTGGATACTGTTTCAATAGTTAATAAAACTGCTTTTTTAGAGTATTCCATTTGTGTTCATGTCTTTCATTAACTTTAATTAACACGATCAAGTTGGCGTAACTCAGATACAAGTCTTTTTATTAAAGTATATCTATTTCATTCATTGAACTTAACTATGTCACATTAGTTTTATGTAAGTTTCAATCATGAAGTTAAAGTAACCTAATTAACTCTAAATTACTTAAGTCACGGCCTTACAATTTACATAATAATTTTAAGTAACTTGAATGTAAGGAGGTTTATTAAAATCTACTTAGCAAAGTTGTGTGGAACCACTTGACAAAACATTTTTAAGTAAATCCAACACTTTTTTTATTTGAGATGAAAAGATAAAACTGAGCAATGGACATGATAGACATTAGAAAAGAAAAGAGATGAAAGCCAAAGCAAAAAAGAATAAAAGACAGAAGAAATGAATGACATCAAAAAGGGATGAATGAGAAAAGACAAAAGCCATTAAAAGAAGAGGAACTGAGCATAATAGAAGGCACAAATCCAACCGAACAAAAAGGGGAACATGTGGATGGTGTAAAATAGAAATTGTAAAACGAGGTGAAGGGCGGAAACAGGCAAGCAGAGAGGGAGAAGTTAGTCAGAGCAGGAAAAACTAGCTGTCCTTTTCAACGGCTCCTACGGGATCCTCCGGTTCCGCTTTATCTAATTCAAATAAAAAAGGCTTTTTGGATGGAACCTAAATGTGTGTTTTAGGTGGGGGTCACATGGTAATCCAGCCCTACAGCTGACCAACTCATTACTCCTTGTGTCACACACAAAGGATGAGTGCATCCAAACACTCTTTATGAGTCAGAGGGTGGGTGGAAGAAAGAATTGTGATGGTTTAATAAGTATTCAGAAAATTCTAGTGACAATTACTTCTGCAACACTTCTACACAGAAAATAAAAATCAACATTACCATCTGCTGCAGCCTATTTCAGAGATGTTACAGAGGGGGAAAAGTGGGAATGTTTAGCTAATTTACTATTTGTGATCTCAAATATTCGTCCTAGAATCAATTTTCTGCTGACACACATGATGTTTCCTACATTCAAATGGCATTGCTATCAAACTTAAACATCATTGGAGATCCTTCCAGATCCATGATATTTCCAGCTGTGAGATGCTTCTCAAGCTACAGCTACCTGTGCCTGTCCATCCCACATGCTGCTCATTTTAAAACTCAGTCAAAGAGAGAACTTAGGACTTGAACTTCAGACAAGTGCAGCCTCAGTCAGATTGTAAGGTCTTACCTGTTTCACAGCGCCGTCCAGTAAATCCTGAGGGACAGACGCATGTGTTTGGAGACACGCAGGTCCCTCCACTTCGACACCCTTCCTCACAGTAGGCTAAAGAAAAAACAAGAACAAGTGCATTTGTAATTTTTTCTAAATGTGTCTGAGAAATGAACAAATGTGTTGATTTGATCAGTTTGGTCAAACTGGTGATTTTGGTGTGACAGGGTTATGACTAATTTTGGCCTTTTATATGGATGGAACTAGGATTCACAAGACCTTTTTCACTTATACCCCAGTCAAGTCCAATTTACTGAAATCCCCAAAGGGCAATAACCTAGAAACTGGTGATAAAAAGTAATATAATTTACAGAGATGGCAGCAGCAAGGTTTGTAGAGTTGCTGAAAAATCCTTCGCAAAAATACTCATGAAAAAAAGTCTTTGTACTTTACTTCAGTGTTTGCTTTCTGGATCTAAATATCTTTTTTCCACTGGTTTCCAAATTACACTAGACCAAGTTTTAAATGGTTGCATAAAAATACAACACTGTCCCTGAAAACTATACAACAGTAAGGCATTTAATCTTGAAAATCACAGACGAACGAGCAATTTCCACTTATTTGAGCCCATTTTTCCAAATAAAAAAAATGAATCTCTGTTGCTAATGAAATTAATCACAAATATATGATAAATCTATAAACAAGTAAGAATATAGAGTAGGTATAAACCTATTAAAGCGTAACATCACATGTTCACACACACCGTTGTGTTTACCTGTTAGTTATAAATAAACAGAGCTAAATAGCAGCAAAATAACATCTATCAGCATGCTTAACACATATAGAGTTGTAGGCTGCACAAGTACACAAAAGATGGACAGCAAAGTTAAATTTTACAGGTGTCCAGCTGAAAAAATACACTGAGGGCGGTCGTTAATGGCCAGATCTAGTGCATAAACCTTCCACACTGTAGCAGACAAAGTCTGATGACAGAATAAAAAAGTAAAATATCTGCCCCACATGTCCAGAAACAAGATAGCCATCTAATGACCTATATGCTTTCATTATATAATTGTGCTGGACCGCAGGGATGAGGAGCCGGCTGGAGTAGACCGACCGAGCCCAGGCAGCAGCAGGATGAAATGCGCAGTCCTGAGAAATAAACATGTGTAAAAGTGACAATGCTGGTGTGGTGTGTACTTCTGTGTGTGACCTGCGGTAACGGTCTTGTTACAATAATTACATTAAAAAAAATGTATGCAACTGGAGCTGGCAGCAGCTAATGTTGTTTGTTTGTGTTTCTGTTTACGTTGCTCGTCAGAATAAACTGAGCATCCGTTAATCTCCAAAGACACGCAGTATCATGGTGATAGTTCAGCATTATTCCACAAACTGCACAAGAGATCCGGTTACTCCTTCAGTTTAGCTGTATTAAGTCCAAACGGCCGGTTCTGAGGACTGTCCGCCCCACAGCTTGCTAGCTTTTACAAACGCGAATCTGGAAGCTTTAGCTAAACACCGTTAGCTTTGAGATGTTTGTCTCTTTTTCCTCTACACAAAGATGTGTTAGATTATCTAAATTAGTAAATTCTGAATCCCTAGGTTTTATTTTGTTAACTTAAATCACAGAAAAACAGGTCTGGATTATGCCTGGAGACGGCGTTCTTGACCTCTAGCTTGTGTGGCTGTGCGCAGTTACCCAGTTTAAACGATGGGTTTCAATGGCTCTATATGAAATGAAAAATGAAATTGTGATTAATAAAAAGTATATAATTTGCATTCCATTATGAGGCAAAAAGTTCAGAAGGAAACTGGAAATCAGGTATGTCCAAAGTGCAGCGCGGGGCCATTTGCAGCCCTCTGAGTGCTTTTGTGTGGTGCCCACAAACATTTCTAGAATGGTTTAATTCAGGGGTCGGCAAACCTGGGCACTCGTTCCACTGTTGGTACGCAAAGGGTCAACTAATGGCACAGAGCATTAAACTAAGAAGATGTGTTGAAAAATAAATGTTGTAACAGATTGAATTTTCTGTTGATTGTTTTTGTTTTCTTGTTTGGTCACTAAATGCGTTAAAAAGTTGAAACGTGAAGCTCTCAGTCCTCCCAACTGGTGAAGCGCTCTGTCGGCTGGTTGCCTTGGCAACGAGTGTGTGTGTGTTGGAGCAAAGACGTGGCAGAGAATAAGAGGATGTTCGGGTGGATATTTTTAGTTTTTGTCTTGTTGTTCGGCGATTATCTCAGTTGTTGATGTAGTCACTGTGATATTTGGAAGTTAAAAATAAACAGAAAGACGGAAATAACTGCCTTATTATTAGTAATAAAACGCCACTCCCACGCGATGGCCCGCCGGTCCAAATCCCAAATTTGCGCGAAAAGACATCATTCAGGCCGCTTCTTGATGATGGTAATCTACCTGCCGGTATAGTGAGGAGGATGTTTCTAGCTAGTTAGTCCTGTAAAATATGACATCTAAGCGAGCAAAAAAAAAAAAAAAATCATTCCAGGTCTTTTATGACAACTTGGACAGAAGACTGGGGTTTTGTGCAGCAAAGAGATCGTGCTGTGTGTGCTCTTTGCCTTGAGAGTGTTGTTTGCCGTACCTCCAGTGTTAAGCGGCATTTTGAGATGAAACATCAAAAAAAAATTCAAGGATGAGGAAGAGAAGGCTGAATCAATTGCACGTGCTGTGTCAAGATATGAGAAGCAAGCAAGTACTCTGAAAATTTTTACAGCTACTAAACATCATGGAACTGAAGCAAGTTTTCGTATTGCACACTGTATTGCTAAACATGGAAAGCCATTTACTGACGGTAACTGTATTAAAGAGGCATTTCTCTGTACCTCAGATGTGTTATTTGATGGGCTTCCAAACAAACATACAATTAAAGCAAGGATTCTAGACATACCTGCATCAGCCAGAACTATGAAAGATGGGTGACAATGTCAGGGCCCAACAAACAGCTGGTTTGAAAGATGCCCAGGTGTTAAGTGTGGCTTTGGATGAAACCATTGATATCAATGATGTGCCAAGTATTCAATCAGATTAAATAGGTTGAGCATGCGCAGTGCCCCCCCCCCCCCCCCCCCCAAAAAAAAAAAGTAAACAAACATCTTGAAACAAAATGAAAAATGTAAAAACTTCCTGCTTTCCTGATTCATTTAATCATTTTAATTATTTTATTTTGCTCATAGAAGTAATGTTTTCTTCAGTAAATAACTGCAGGTTTATGCTTTGCTGTGTTTTACTGTTGACAATATTAAAATAAGGGAGGGTAATCCTTGTATGTGCCTCTTGATCAGCTGGTCTGCGGGACTGACGTGACGGCTGGGCGCAGTGCTGTGCAGAGCGGGGGTGGGGTGGGGGGTTGAGTGTTCAGACTCATGTTTTATTACGGAGCTCTGTTGTGATTTATTATTAATAAAATGTGACAATCAGCTGAAACTGTTGAGAAAAGTTGGTTCAAACTAAATAACAGGAGATGTTCAGTGAAAGACAAGATGGCGCTGAGTATGGCTGCCTCGTAGCGAGCTCCACCAAGCAACAGCTGTTTTTTGTGTTTACGACTTTTTCTTTATTTTTTTCACGAGTAGCACATGTATCCTTGTGTACGACCGACAAACCTTACTGGACATAAAAGACGGATTTTCTCATTGCTTTCCGGAGTTCAGGTTTTTCATCACGGACCCACCGTTTGCAGATCCCCCATTCATCTCACCTGAGACGCCTTTGTTATGGGCCCGTGGAGGCCGCAAGCGCCGACGCAGAGGGAGAAGATCTGGCGTTCTGGTTCGACTGAGACGGCGCACTAACAGAGCACCATTACCCAGTTTACTACTGGCTAATGTGCAGTCCCTGGAGAACAAGCTGTGCGAGCTTCAGGCTCGGATCTCATTCCAGCGAGAGATGCGGGACTGCTGCGCGATCTGTCTCATAGAAACCTGGCTATCGGACAAAGTACCGGACACCGCAGTAGAACTACGGGGTTCTCCGTGCACCGCGCGGACAGGTCACAGGAGCTTACTGGGAAAAGCAGAGGTGGCGGTGTGTGTTTCATGATCAACAACAGCTGGTGTGATTATGCGAACATGCACCCGGTCAAATCCTTCTGCTCTCCGGACCTGGAGTACCTGATGATTAAGTGCCGCCCATTCTGGCTACCGAGAGAATTCACAGCGGTGATTATTACGGCTGTTTACATTCCCCCACAAGCCGACACTGACCGAGCACTCAGAGAACTGTACAACGCGATCAGCAATGAGGAAACCGTTCACCCAGAGGCGGCGTTTATTACGATCGGGGACTTTAATAAGGGTAACCTGAAGAAAGTCTCACCAAAACTACACCAACACATCCATTTCAATATACGCGGAGACCGGCTACTCGACCACTGCTACACCTCTTTCCGAGATGCGTACAAAGCCCTCCCCCGCGCCCCATTCAGCCAATCAGATCACTGCTCCATCCTGCTTATACCTGCCTACAGACAGAAGCTGAAACGGGAAGCTCCAACCCTGAGGGCGGTGCATCGTTGGTCGGACCAATCGGAGTCTGCGCTGCAGGATTGTTTTGATCGGGCGGACTGGGAAATGTTTCACACGGCTGCTAGAAACATTGATGAGTACACAGACTCAGTCTGTGGATTTATCAGGAAATGCGTGGAAGATGTTGTCCCATCCAGAACAGTTAAATCCTTTCCAAATCAAAAACCCTGGATTAATGGAGGTGTGCGAACGGTGCTGGCGGCGTGGAGCACCGCCTTTGCCTCCGCAAACACATCAGACTACAAACACGCACATTACCAACTCCAGAAGATGATCAAAGCAGCCAAACGTGAGTACAGAGACAGGGTGGAGCAACAGTTTGACAACCCCCGGAGTATGTGGCAGGGACTAAACACAATCACAGACTTTAGAGGGAAAACCAGCACACCGCAGACCACGGCCTCTCTGTGTGAGGATCTAAACGCATTCTATGCCAGATTCGACACAGCGAACTCCATGAGACCGGACAGTGAGCGCACCGCGGATGACGTCAGTGCGCACACTGTGTCTGAAGAGGATGTGCGGAGGTGCTTCAGGAGGGTGAACGCACGCAAAGCAACTGGTCCGGACGG